CTTCAGTCGCTGGCCAGCCTGAAAATGGCCCTCAGCCCTCACCCAGACTGGCCAGGCACCCCAGTGGGGACCCCCACCCTAAAGGGGGTGTGACCAGCTGCAAACAGCCATCAGCCCCTCACCCAGGTTGGCCAGGCACCCAAGCGGGACCCCCACCCTGATCCAGGACACCCTTCAAGGCAAACCAGCCGGCCCCCACCCGTGCACCAGGCCTCTATCCTATATAGTAAAAGGGTAATATGCAAACTGACCCTAACAGCAGAAAGACTGGGAATGACTGGTCACTATGACACACACTGACCACCAGGGGGCAGACGCTCAATGCAGGAGCTGCCCTCTGGTGGTCAGTCACTTCCACATGGAGGAGCTCTGCTCAGCCACAAGCCAGGCTGATGGCAGCCAGTAGAACGGTGGTGGTGGGAGCCTCTCCTGCCTCCTCAGCAGCACTAAGCATGTCCGACTGTGGCTTAGGTCTGCTCCCCGCTGGCAAGTGGACATCCCCCAAGGGCTGTGGGGCTGTCTGACTGCCATCTTAGGCCCAATCCCCCGGGGAGCAGGCCTAAGCCAGCAGATAATACCCATAAGTTCTAAAGAGGAGGGAAAAAATTACTTTGGGAAATTTCCTAATGCTGATACTTTAGAAACTTTCATTGAACTCCTTTCTTTTTTCTTTTTTAAATATATTTTATTGATTTTTTACAGAGAGGAAGGGAGAGAGATAGAGAGTTAGAAACATCGATGAGAGAGAAACATCGATCAGCTGCTCCTGCACATCTCCTACTGGGGATGTGCCCACAACCCAGGTACATGCCCTTGACCGGAATCGAACCTGGGACCTTTCAGTCCACAGGCTGACGCTCTATCCATTGAGCCAAACCGGTTTTCGGCTGAACTCCTTTCTTAATTGTTCATAATTGTTATTCCTAGGTTCTTACAATTTATTTACAAGACAAAAAAAAACAATTTCTGTTTAGTGAACTTAAAATCTAAAATAAAAAACAAGAATTATACAAAGTCCCATTAACAAACCTTAAAACGTTCTACTTTGTAACTCACTAATTTTATATACTTGCCATTTTGCTTCCTGATATTATGCAAACACTCCAAAATGTGGTGTGTTTAAGACACTAAACAAATTGACAAAACATTTTTATTTTTATTGAAATAAATTTGAGCATGACTCATTTGGTGAATTGCCTTCTTCAGAATGAGTTTATTTATATAATCAACCAGTGAATTGAAAACAGAAACAAATACCATATGTTTTAGGTTTTGCTAAAGTGCTAATTGTTGTTATATATAATTCATTTTTTATTTTAAAAGTTTGTTTTAACACTTTCTTAATTCTCTGGAATTTTACATATGGTAAAAGCAAGATAGAAGAATTGTAAACATCTTTTCACAAATGTCATTTAAGATTACATATTGTTCTCCTATGCACTTGTAAGAAAAATTGCATAATTGGTGTTAACTTATTTTGCTTATTTACTATCAGCTTGCAGCTTTTTAATCTTTGAAGGATTTGAAAAAGTATTTTTATATTTCTTGGTTATTATAGAAAACGTTGATAATTTTATATTTATATATTTTAGTTTCTGTATTTGTAAGCTTACATCATTCAAAGGTCTTTTTATCTGGTTTCTAGCTATTTGTGATAATATCCTATGAATTAGTTTTAAATTAAAAGAATCTCTTATGGGGAGAAAATTGCTTGTAATGTTTGTTCATTAAAGCAGCAAGTCAATTTTTTTTCTACCATCGTCACTTATTAGCAGTTCACTTTGTGTATTTATGATACTGTTCAGTGCCTGCTTTTTCCACATAATTTCTCTTAGAGATATGTACATGTAGATCTGGCTCATTCTTTTTAATGATTTCATTCTGTTCTGATTTGGGATATTCCCTAATTCATTTGACCAGTCCCTGTTAATGAATATCCAAATTGCCGGTACCAGGAGCAAACTGGAAACAAGGCAATAATGAACGTTTTTGTGCATTCATCTTGATGTACTTATCTAAATATAGCTGCCTGTAGGACATAACTACAAGTGCTATTATTGGGCCAAAAGGCCTACACAGTTTTAATTTTTAAAAAAATATATTTTTTTATTGACTTCAGAGTAGAAGGGAAAGGGAGAGTTAGAAACATCAATGAGAGAGAATCATTGATCAGCTGCTTCCTGCATGCCCCCCACTGGGGATCGAGCTCACAACCCAGGCATGTGCCCTTGACCACAATCGAACCCAGGACCCTCTAGTCCAAGGGTCCTCAAACTACGGCCCGCGGGCCACATGCAAATACAAATATTGTATTTGTTCCCGTTTTGTTTTTTTACTTCAAAATAAGATATGTGCAGTGTGCATAGGAATTTGTTCATAGTTTTTTTTTTTTTAACTATAGTCCGGCCCTCCAACAGTCTGAGGGACAGTGAACTGGCCCCCTGTTTAAAAAGTTTGAGGACCCCTGCTCTAGTCTGTTCTATCCACTGAGTCAAACTAGACAGGGCCACAGTTTTAATTTTGATAAGATAATGTCACACTGCCCTCTAGGGACATTACAAAGATTTGTAATTCCACTTTGAAGAGTATGGAAGTAGGCACTTAAAAAGAAACTCGCAGACACAGACAACAAAATGAACGGTGGTTACCAGAGGGGCAGTGGGTGGGAGGGAGGATGAAGAAACCAGACTTTGGGGTGATGAGCAAACAATAGAGTACACAAATGTCAAATTATAGTCTTGTACACCTGCAAATTATATAATGTTACTAGAGGGCCCGGTGCATGACATTCGTGCACTGGGGAGGGGGGGTGTCCCTCAGCCTGGCCTGTGCCCTCTTGCAGTCCGGGACCCCTCGGGGGATGTCCACCTGCCGGCTTAGGCCCGGGTTGCAGGTTCAATCCCCAGTGTGGGGTGTGCAGGAGGCGGCCGATCCATGATAGTCTCCCATCACTGATGTTTCAATAAAAAATAAAAAATAGGTATTTTTAAATGTATTTTTTTTATAAAAGTATATATTTTTTAAAAATTGCTTTACAGCCTGACTGGCATAGCTCAGTGGTAGAACATTAACCCATGAACCAGGAGGTCCCAGTTTGATTCCCAGTCACGGCACATTCCCCGGTTACAGGCTCAACCCCCCAGTTTGCGGTGTGCAGGAGGCAGCCAATCAATGAGTCTCTCTCATCATTGATATTTTTCTCTTTCTTCCTCTCTGAAAGCAATAAAAAAATATTTTTTTTAAAACTTGCTTTACAGGAGGGAAAACAACATAGTGGAAATTGCAAAGATAAGCATGAGAACTCTGTTAGGAGAGCCAAAGTTACTGCCTTACACTTTATTCCTGCTGTTTAGAACTACATGATGGAAAAGCGGGCATTTTGTGGTATCCCAGGCTCTAGAGTAGTGCTTAGAATAGGTGCTCAAGGCATGCTGGCTGAATGGATTGGTGAATTTATGGAAACAGTGTGTCATGTGACACTACCTAGAGACACTGAAATCTTTGTACCTCAGGTGAAACTCAAATTTTTGTATTTATTATTCCATAGGGGGTTGACGTCTTCCAGTCAGAGACCTCGAGAAGACAGCTGGTTAAAATCCTTATTTGTCCGGAAAGTTGATCCAAGAAAAGATGCTCACTCTAATCTCCTAGCCAAAAGGGAAACAAGCAGTCTATACAAAATACAGTGTGAGTGATAGGTCTGCTATCTTCACAGTTGACTTTTCTCCCTTTGTTCATAAGTTCATCGTGGAATTTTCTTTTGTTTCAGTTCACAATGTTAAACCGGAATGCCTAGAAGCATACAACAAAATTTGGTGTGTATACCAAACTATCGTTTACTTGGGGAAAATAATGATTTTAATATTTGTTAGTTTTCAACCAGCACTTGTAGCAGAGTGAGATCTTTGTTCCATTTTCTTAAAGCTGAACGCTCAGAGGCTTCTTAAATTGAGCTCTGCGTGGGATTACAAAGGGCATTTTGTAAGCACTCAGACAGTAAATCATCACATAAGCTACAAACCTTAGAATGTTACTAGACTCAGGGTTGGAAGGAACCTTGCAAGGTTGTCTAGTCCATCACCTCATCCAGTGCTTGAGTCCTTTCCGCACACCTTCCTGCCTGCCTGTGCCTAGATACATTCATACATTCCGTCTCTGGCAGCTTTGAGTGTTAGGAATTAGAACTTGTGTCCCTGCGACTTCCATTGTTTCCCATTTTACTTCTCAGTAAAACTGTCCCGTTTGCATGTAGCTGCCATTTCTTCCCACATCTTGCATTCGCCAGGATTCAAGCCCCTTCAGCAGGTTCTCATGATTTGTGACCCATATGTACTTACAGAACTTGTAAACTTTTAGACTAAAGAGAAAAGTAAGTGTATCAGTTCTTAATTAAATTAATAGAAATAGTATTTTAATGAGCAAATATAATTTAAAAGCTTTTTTTTTTTTTTTTTTACCTTTAAAATCTGCTACTTTCATAAGGGAAGAATGATTCTGTCACCAGAATCAGCAAAATTTTCAGAAGCAAAAACCTGTTGTTTTATTTTTGGATGTGGTTTGTGTAATAACATTAGTAAAGAATTTCTTACTGCAGCACAATTTTCTTTGTTAAAAAATGCCCTTAAAAAGGCAGACACTTATTTTCTAAATCTTTTCTCATAAAATGAAATTATTTCTCTATGCTGATGTTTCCTTGAGTTATCTTCCCTGTCCTGTTTTTATTCATCTCCTGTCTCAGATTTCTGTCTGTTCATAATTCTATTTGGATGTCTTGCTCTTCCTTCAAACTCAACAGATAGAATCACCTTGCTCTTTCAACATCGCTGTATGTGTCAATCACCATGGTTTTATTTAACCCTTTCCTTAGTTGTTTGTGATTAGTTAGTTACTAAAGGCTGTGTGTTCTCCATTTGACACGTATTTTAGTTCTCTGCTTTTTCCTTCTCCATCTCTTTTTCCCAGCCTGTTGAGCCCCATTTCCAAGTACCTCCTTTCTGACTCCTTCCTGGACTTGTAGCTGTATCTATACTTCCACCTCAACCTGTAATCCATTGTGCAAAACTTTGTCAACTTGATCTGCCTGAGTTGTTTTCTCCTTCCTCTTGTTGTTTTTCTCCTTTCTCTGAAACTTCAGCAGCTCCTTGTTTTCAGTACTTAGAGTACTGCCTGGTTTGTTGGGGCCCCAACAATGAGGTTCTTTCCAACCTATCCAGTTCTGGGTATAGGTATTACCTACCTTACAACCTCCGGGTAAGGCCAGGGCTTCCAAAAGCAGGTTGGGGGCTTCCCACAAAGAGGGTTGGCTGCAAATCCATGGGTGACTTTGTATTGGTGAAAACCTACGCCCCACTGGCAGCCCCCTTCCTGGACCCACCTGGGTCATTTGTACAGGCTTCCGCCTACACTGGCTCCAGTTCAGGGTTATTTACTTCCTGCGCATGCCATACGACCAAAAGGAAGCCCCTTTCATTTCCCTAACAATCCCAGCCCCAATTCCCATTAATCTCCTCTTGGTTCTGAACATAAGTCTATATGAGTCAGTACAGTGACCACACCATGTGTATTTTTAGAAGGGTGGCATTTACTTTTATGGGTGTTTAGTTAGACATAGACCATTCTAACCTTTTCTCTGTTGACTGTTAGTATACACCAGTGATGGCGAACCTTTTGAGCTACGCATGTCAGCATTTTGAAAAACCCTAACTTAACTCTGGTGCCGTGTCACATACAGAAATTTTTTGATATTTGCAACCATAGTAAAACAAAGTCTTATATTTTTTATATTTATTTTATATATTTAAATGCCATTTAACAAAGAAAAATCAACCAAAAAAATGAGTTCGCATGTCACCTCTGACACGCGTGTCATAGTTTCGCCATCACTGGTATACACCCTATCCTGGTGCCCCAGCTCTAGTGGTGACTATTAGTTTACTGTCACTCAGTGTCAGCAAATAATTTGAACTGGTTCCAATTCTGATCCTTGATGTCTTTTTGTATCCATTGTTGAACCTGTATTATACTTTTTATCATAATTTTTCTATTCAAAAAAAGAAAGGCTTAGCTTTTCTCTTGGCATGGCAGCTTTTCTCTTTACATGCCTTTCCCTGTAAATTAGAATCTGCTCTATAGGAAGGTTTCTATAGAACCAAGCTCTGATACCTCTGTTCAGGTAATACGTTGCCATGACCTGGCGTGGCTTTGCCTCTGCTCTCTGCAGTCAGTGGTAATGGAATGGGTGGTGTGTCTGGTGTGGAATTATGTGATACGCTCAGATCCCCTCGGTTGGTTGCATTGAATAGAACCTAATCATTGCTTTCTGTTGTATTTTTCATTTGGATTCTACTGTCACGAAATGTCCTTTGGAACTATTGAAATTGTGTTGTGTTCTAGCTCTGTCTTCCTCCTTACTTACGGCCGACTTTTCTCTGCCCCGTTACCGCTGCCTGATTGTGCTGTCTCCCCTGACTTAAACATTACTTTCTTCCCTTTCTTATTTTTCCCATGTTCTTTTCCTACTATTTCCATTTCCCTTATTCTTCTATCTTTGAATCCAGCAAAACTTGGCTTTTATAAACATCACCATTCTTAAGTACTTCTTTCTGGAATGGCAAATGGCACCCATAGTTCCTAGAATCTTGGAACCTTTAGCTCTTTATCATTTTTATCACTATACTCAAGTTGGGGGTATCAGAAACCTAAGCTTCTGATAAGTGGGGTATCAGAGTAGAACAGAATTCAGCGAAAAGGTTAATTTTGCATGTTGTTTTAACATAAATATATTCTGAGGTAAATTATCAGAACATGGAGTAGGTGACCTTTTTCCTGTTACTGATCATGTGTTGTCCACCTGGTATAATTTTGTTGGTTGTTTAATTAGTGTTGCTATCTCTTCTCTTTAAGTCAAGAGGTGTTGCCAAAGATTCATGAAGATAAACATTACCCTTGTACTTTGGTGGGGACTTGGAACACGTGGTATGGCGAGCAGGATCAAGCTGGTAGGAAGCAGAAGTCTTTGGAATAAACACTTGTTCCTTAAGCCGTTATATAATATTTAATTTCATGCTTGTTTTTATAATCAAAGCTTTCCAAGTCTCAGTCTGGTTTTATGGTTAAAGTCCTTTCTCCAGTAATTCATTGCAAAAACTTTTTTATTGTTTTAATATTTGAATCTGTTATTATAACTTTATATTGTAACTCATAGGCAACATATGGCACATTGTACTTTTGTACTGTGTTAATATTATACACGTCTGGAATATTTTCAAGGTAAGAGTATCATGAAACTCTAAATGTATGTTATCTTTTAAAATATATTCCAGTCCACCTCTGGAGGTATGAAGGAGGCTATCCCGCCCTCACGGAGGTCATGAATAAACTCAGAGAAAATCAGGTAATGATTTTGAAAAATGTTTACATTTTTACACTAATGATATAGTGCTGTTAGTACAGAATTAAATGTTTTTTGTAGTAAAAATTTTATTATTTGGACTCTCTGAAGATGTATGCAAACATAAAGTAACCAGTTATAATATTATTAAAATACAGTTCTTTTTTTTTTTCAATTCTCACCTGAGGACATTTTTTTAAAATATATTTTTATTAATTTCAGAGAGGAAGGGAAAGGGAGGGAGAGATAGAATTATCAATGATGAGAGAGAATCATTGATCAGCTGCCTCCTGCACGCCCCACACTGGGGATCGAGCCCACAATCTGGGCATGTGCCCTGACTGGGAATCGAACTGTGACCTCTTGGTTCATAGGTCGACGTTCCACCACTGAGCCACGCTGGCCAAACCTGAGGACATTTTTCATTGATTTTTAGAGAGAGAAAGAGAAACATTGATGTGAGAGAGAAACATTGATAGGTTTCCTCCCATATATGCCCCAACCAGGGCTGGGGATTGATTCCACAACCTAGGTATGTGCCCTGACCAGGAATCAAACCTGGGACCTTTTAGAAGTGTATAGGATGACATTCCTAGCCGCTGAGCCACACCAGCCAGGGCTAAAATAGCAGTTCTCATTCTAAAAGTCAGTTGTACTTAGAAACTGAAAAGCTGGTACTTTGAAACCGGTAAGTCAGCACTCTAGACACAATCAGCCTTTGGTTAACTGACACCTGCTTCAGGAACATCTAACCACATATTCTTTACCTTGGGCTGACTTTGCTATCCTCTCCCTCCCTAACAGGTGCATGTTAGTGGAGAGAATTTTAACAGACAGACATTATTAGGAAAGAAACCCATTTGAAAAAAAAATTTTTTTTATTGATTTTAGAGTGAGAGGAAGGGAGAGGGAGAGTTAGAAACATCAATTGGCTGCCTCCTGCACACCCCTACTGAGGATTGAGCCTGAAACCCGGGCATGCGCCCTTACTAGGAATCAAACCAGCAACCTCTTGGTACATGGGACAATGCTCAACCACTGAACCACACCAGCTGGGCAGGAAAGAAAACCTTTTGTATAGCTTCCCAGTCCAAATATAAATGGCTTTTGGATTCTTTGATTTTGTTTTGCTTTGTTTTTTTGAATTTTTAGGAGTTTATCTGAGCCAAACTTGCCCAGAAGCAAGATCTCAGATACTCCCAATTCTTTGATGGTTTGTAGTCTTCATGTCACTGTTGTTATTACACTGTCACCCTCTGTTAGGAGAACCTAAAAAGTGGGAAATTGCATTTGTTTATATTGTCATTTAAATAATTAGGGTGGCTATGTAGATTGTCATCTAAATCTGGACACCTGAGAGTGAAAGGGAATGGTAATAGTCATTGGGCTGATTTGATAAGATGTAAACTGGGCGCTAGCCAGTTTAGCTCAGTAGATAGAGCATTGGCCTGTGGACCAAAGGGTCCTGGGTTCGATTCCAGTCAAGGGCATGTACCTTGGTTGCAGACTCCTCTCCGGTCCAGGCCCTGGTCGGGGGCGTGCAAGAGATGCAACCAATGGATATGTTTCTCTCACATCGATATTTCTCTCTGTCTTTCCCTCTCTCTTCCATTCTCTCTAAAAGTTCAATGGAAAAATATCCTCGGGTGAGTATTAACCAAAAAATAAAAATAAAAAAAGATGTCAACTGGGACTGTCTCAGGACAGTGGGACCCTATTTGTAATAGTATTCTATTATAGGAGGAATGCAACTGTTACTAAAGCGGGCTTCTGTATAAATACTAGATGATTTCATGAGCACATTTTTTCACTCAAAGGAATTTTTGCATTTCCGGAAGGCAAGAAGCAACATGCTTCTTTCCAGGAAGAATCAGCTGCTATTAGAATTCAGTTTCTGGAATGAGCCTGTTCCACGGCCAGGACCTAATATATATGAACTCAGATCTTACCAACTTCGAGTAAGTACTGAAATATGAGTTAACTGTTCCTCATGAGTACCCTTAATGCTGATAAAAAAGTTGAGTGTACATTCTGTGATTTGTTTGGCATTATATTTTGGCTCGTTGTCACCCCTATCTAGTCCTCTTTTTTTTTTTAATCTTCGTAGTTTCTCATTCTCTTCTGCTTAGCTCTTGTCTTTTCTAATCTTATACATAATACTGATTATTTGACATTATGTAGCATTTCTGTTTTTAAGAGGAAAGACCTAAAATGCAGCACTAGGTACATTATTTAGCATCTAATGTAATTGAGCTAGAGCAACTAGTAAATGTGTGACTATTGAATAAATTGATTCATTAATTTGTTATATTAAAGATTATAAGATTAAAAGGGAATAAATAATATTTTGTAAGACTTTCTAGATGTTCGTCCACTAAATGACTACTAGCAAGAAAGCCCAGATAGCAACATTGTTCAACACTCACCATTATACTGGAAATTCAATGTGATGTCCTTATTAAGTTTACTTAAATAGAATTTTTTTAAAGCTTTTACAATAAAGTCTGAATGAATACCTACCAATAGTTTAATAATTAAGTACATCTGGAGAATGGGCCTAAGCATGGTTTTGATAGCAACCATAACTGAATGACTTATGGTAGGTTTATAGTTGTAGGTGAAACAGTTTATTCTTGTGTTATTATGTGTTAATTACTATATTATTTCCCATACAAACAGCTGTAAACCTACTTTTGCCCCACCCGGTATGTTGTCTTCTTATATGAAGCCATAGACTATTATTTCCACTAGAGGATAAGTATGAACACAGTGAATAATAATATTTTGTTGCATTTTTTAATTTATTACATCTCACATTATTAAAAATTAATTTTTAAGTTAGTTTTCTCATTTGTTATATTACACTTTTATTCTATATTTCTTCATAAGAGGACTAACAAACCAAAATTCAAATCTCTTTTCAGCCAGGAACTATGATTGAATGGGGCAATTACTGGTGAGTATATTACCAAATGGTGAGTTTGTAAGTCGTAGTAATAGATGATATTAGGCCATCATGTTAAGTCTAGGGATAAATTCTGGGGATAATGCTGTGATTTGATACTAGACTATTGTGTTGTTTGACATTTTTATTATGAAATTTTTCAAACATATACAAAACTAGGGAGAATAATCCATGGATTCCCCTCTTTCCATACCCATTACTTAGCTTCAATAATTATCAACACATGGCCAGTCTTGATTGGAGAGGAGCACAAGGGATCTTTTTGCGCAATTGGATTGTAGTAACGGCTGCACAAGCCTGTAAATTTACTTTAAAAACATGGATTGTACACTTACGTGAATTTTATGGTATGTAAAATATACCTTGATAAAGCTACCAATGACATACCTCACTAAAGAGAATTTATACAGGAATCCAGGGATGACTCAAAGTGAGGAAACTGATTAATGTAACACATACAATGAGGCTGGAATTAGGTGCCCAAAACCTGCTCTGGCCTCTGCACCCCCAACACATGCTTCCATGCCGTTGTTAGAGCATTTATCACACCCCAGCAGCGCCTTCAGTGTCCAGTTCTACAGCTGCTTGCAAGGTCTGGCACATCCTGAGTGGTAAGTGTTGAAAGGATGGCAAAAACTAGTGGTCACATAAGAAAAGAAAGTCTGTTGCAGTTGCCATATTGTAGACAAGCTCTGTGCCTTAGTGGAAAGATTATAGTATATTCATGCAGTGGAATTTTATACAGTGGTTAAAGTAAACCTGATCTGTACCTGTTAACAGAGCCATCTTGGAAACACCACATTGAGGAGAGAGTTAAAAATATGTACAACATGATGTCTTTTATGTAAATTTTAAAAAGATTTAACAAAAAAGTTATATAAACAAGATATTTAACAAGAGCTATACAAAAAGATATAACTATTGTTCATAGATACATACATATAAAGTAGAAATATAAAACCATGGACAACAAGACTCATATTCAAGAGCGAGAACTACTTCCAAAGAGTAGTGACTGATGGGGGAGGAAGACGGGGTTGGCGATGAGGAGGAATAAAGAGAGCTACAATGCAAAAAGAGCTGAAGCAAATACAATAAAATGTAGTGTTCATGTTTTAAAAATCTAGGTGACTAGAATGGTTGAAATCCTATATAATAAAACCCTAATATGCAAATTGACCAAACGGCAAGTGACCAGTCACTATGACACACACTGACCACCAGGGGGCAGACACTCAACGCAGGAGTTGCTCCCTGGTGGTCAGTGTGCTCCCATAGGGGGAGCACCACTTAGCCAGAAGCCAGGCTCACAGCTGGCAAGCGCAGTGGTGGTGGCAGAAGCCTCTCCTGCCTTTGCGTCAGCGCTAAGCCATCAGTCAGACATCCCCCGAGGGCTCCTAGACTGCGAGAGGGCACAGGTCGGGCTGAGGGATTCCCCCCCACCCTCCTCCAGTGCACAAATTTCATGCACCGGTCCTCTAGTATTTCATAATTGAAAAATTTTAAATCATCTTAATTCATATTCAGAAGCCATTTGATAAAATTTGACACATTTTATTAGAGATGCTAATTCCTAATTCTAAAAAAGCACTAAAATTAGGAATAAAGAACATTTTATTTAAATCGGGGGTTGGCACAAACTTGTCTGTAAAGGACCAGATAGTAAATACGATAGGCTTTATGGACCTTGCTATGTCGGTCACTGCTACTTAGCTCTGCTGTGTAATGTGAAAGCAACCTCGGGCAGTGTGTAAATGAATAATGTGACTGTGTTCCAACAAACTTTATTTATGGATGCTGAAATTTGAATTTCCTACTTTCATGTGTCATGAAATAAAATTTTGTATTTGTTTTCTTTTTTTCAAGCACTTAAAAATGTGAACACCATTCCTAGTTCCTGGGCCATAAAAACAAGCTGCATAGGGTGGGATTTAGCTCAAGGTCTGTAGTTTGCTGGCCCTGATTTAAATGATAAAACTATTTCTCCATTTTAACAGCTACTTTAAACTTAATGGTGAAACACAAGAAGCATGCTCATTACCATTAAAACAAAATACTACCAACTTTCACCATTATGATCTATAGTAATAAAAGGATAATATGCTAATTAGACTGGATCTCATTCTGGACGAAGCTGGGACTGGAGGGAAGCCTGGGTCCCGGGTGCCTGCCGGCAGCCGGAGGGAAGCCTGGGTCCTGAGTGCCTGCTGGCGGCCGGAGCAAAGCCCAGGTGCCTGCCAGTTGCTGGAGTGAAGTCCAGATCCCAAGTGTCAGAGGAAAGCTGGTGCTGGCAGCTGGGGGAAGAAAGGCCTACTCTTGAACGAATTTCGTGCATCGGGCCTCTAGTTGTATAATAAAAGCGTAATATGCTAATTCGACCAGACAGCCAAACAACCTTCCAGACAAAGCTGGGGCTGCGAGGGCCAAGGCCCTTGCACGAATTTTGTGCATCAGGCCTCTAGTAATTAATTGTATGTTGTATTTGGAAATCCTGACTATTGTAATAAGAGAAAAGACAAGCCAAATATCTACACTAATAAAAGAGAAACATGGTAATTAGTGTACGACCGCTACCCTTTTCATTGGCTAATCAGTGAGTATATGCAAATTAACTGTCAGCCAAGATGGCGGCCGGCAGCCAGGCACT